CGGGAATTCTCTATTCATTAAACCTCCGTCGAGATGCGCGCTGTCAAGTGGCCAGCGAGCGAGTTCTTAAAGTGGGCGTACCCTCAGGGGCCTCTCAGATTGGCCGGCCGAGGAGGCGTGTGTCGGAGTGCGTACATGTGTTGGTGTGCTTCTGTCTGTCTCTTTGTATATGGCTGTAGATGTGGGCATGTTGGCTGGCATGGGTCTTTTTGGGTGTGTTGTGTGTGTTTGTATGTGTCCCTGCGTGTATCTGTGTATGTATTTGTGCTTGTGTCTGTGTGTGGGGATGGCCGCGTGTGTGCACAAGTGCCGAGACCTGTCCTCCGCGCGTCGTCGTCGGAAACTGATAGTGGCACCGAAGAGAGAGAGTCTCCAGGTGCTAAAAAACATGGACTTCTTCTCATTAACAGATATGATCATGAGGTGTTCACGCGGTAAAGATCACACGTAAACTGCGTGATTAGACGCCTGCTGCCCCTTATCGCCGTCTTTTCACGCGTCGAAAGGAGTTGTTGATGTAGTGGAGCTGTAGGCCATTCACCCTCGTAGACCGCGTGTAGAGGAACGTGCGAGCCCTCATGTAGTTTCCAGGAGCGAAATGTGCATGAGGGCGAGCCGGCCGTGAACCTAAGCGCCGGGCGTCAGCGTTCCCCTGGCCCGGCGTCTTCACATGGCGGACCACCCGTTACCACCGACGCGTTCAAGGATCTCTCCCTCAAGCGCCCCTCGCCCTCCCTTCGGCCGCCGGGATCGAGCCATGTGGTAATCCTATCCCCAGAGAGGGTTTTTGGAATCCAAGGGGCAGGAGGGTCCGGGCGTGCGGGCGGCGGGGGGGTTGTTACGTGCGGGTGACGTGCGGGTGACTGCGGCGTGAACGGCACGTGATTGCCCGCTGAGCTGCACCCTTCTTGCCGCGCTTCGGGTTCGCTCCGGCCTTCACTGCCCTCCGCGGCTTTTCTTCTCTTTCTTTCTCGTCTTCTCCGTTTCTCAAGTTTTCATTCTTCCTGAATATTATCTCCGTTGATTTGGTTATCTTCACAATGGCTGACCTTCAGGATCGAGTGTGTTTGTCCATATCGTGGCAACTAAGCAACAGTTGTGCAATTTTATTTCCAAACTTTTCAGTGCAACAGAAACCACTTTTTTCTGGTATTTCTATACTTATCATAAATATCCGAGATTGCTTTGCCAGAGATCACGCCTTGAAATAATTGAGTTAAACAAAGGACGAGACACCGGGTTGCCCTTAAGTTTGTTGTGAGAAGCAAAGGAAAGCATTGCACAAAGTGTCGATGTTACCGCTTGTCTAATGTCTTCATTATTCTAATCTAGAATCAGCCTTTGCGGTTGCATGAGCGGTTGCAACGAAAAATATATCAACAATTTTGTTTTTTGCTCGTGACTTTTTCTTGGAGAGAGAAATCTGTTTAGAATATGTTCTGAAAACTCCAACATCTGGTCGTACCATAAAACCTACTTGCCCAATCCCCCCCCCCCTCAAATATTGCCCCCCCTACCCTCCCCCCGAACCATGCTCGTCCCTTGTCACTCCTAAAGTGACGTAGTTGTGACGCAGGCTCTGACGTCACCGAAGAGGCCGTTAGTCTTAACCTCTCCCAGCTCATCGCCTGTAAATCACAGCACGTGCCCAAGGATGTCGAGCTCATCGCAACCTCAGAGGCCGCCCCCCCCCCCTGCCCTCCTGCGGCCTCCCTCGTCCTCACCTCAAAGGACGCAGGAGGAGCGCCGGCCGAAGAAGCAAGGTGGGGGAGCCAGGGGCCGAGGCATGCATGGGGAAGGGGGGGAGAGATAGGAAAGGGGGGTTGCTATACCATGACTCCGCTTAAAAGCTGTGCGTGTGCGTAAGTTCGTCGGGTGATGCAAGAGTTCAGAGGGGACGAAATCATCTCGGCGAGAGGCTCCGTGGAATGCCCCGGCGTTACGGTCGGCGAGCGAAGAGCCGCCAAGAGCCGCAGGTAGAGGCTGCTGGCCGCCGGACTCCCCTCGTGCTGCTCACGTGAAGCGCCCGGACTCCGCCCCTCGCTCGCCTCACCCGCCGCCCGCCCGCCCGCCCGCTCGCTGAGTCGGCTCTTGCGTCAGCCTCTCGCGACGGCTCAGCGCTTGCATTCTCTGCTTTATTCTGACCTTTCGTTCTTCTTCCCTTATTCTTTGTTTTCCATCCTGTCTCTTTCTACTGCAACTTACTCGTCCACCGCAACTTACTTTTCATATGCAGTTTGCAGTTACTTTATTGCTGCAGTTTCCATTTCTTTTACACCATTGCCTTCTTCTCTACCTTTTTCTTTTCCCCATCATCCTCTTCTTGTTCTGCCTCCTCTCCCTCCTATTCCTCCTCCTCTACTTCTTTTTCTTTTCTCTTCTTCTTCTTTTCTTTTCTTCTTCTTCTTCTTCTTCTTCTTCCTTTTTATTCTCCACCTCCTCTCTCCTCCTCCTCCTCCTCCTCCTCCACCTCCACCTCCTCCTCCTCCTCCTCCTCCTCCTCCTCCTCCTCCTCCTCCTCCTTCCCTCCCCCTCTTCCTCCCGTTCCTCTCCCAGCACCCACTCCGATCTTCCCCTCTCAGCATTATATCTTAAGACCTTCATATCAGTATGTGCTTACTCCACTTCTTTCTTCTTTTTGCCTTTTATCCCCTCTTTATCTCAGCTTTCCTCCTACCTTTTCTTTTGTTAATTTTTGTGTGTTGGCTCGCCTTCTTTCCCTCCAAAACCTTCGTTATTTTCTCCCATTTTAAGGAGGATTAGAAAGGACTTTGTCAGCGACGAATGTCAGTTAGGCTTTTTATAGATACATAGACATCTAAACTGGCTTAGATATAGATAAGAAAAAATAGACAGGTGGACGGATATATGAAAGACAAGTAGGTTAACTCCTAGATAGGTAAACATAGATAGAGAAATAGGTATACGGACTGAGAGATGCACTGACAGATAAATACACATCCACGTGAGTTGTGAAAGCACACAAGTTTTGGCATCTGATATGCATAGAAAAGACATATTATGATTCTTCTCACAGACAGATACAGACAGACATAGACAGACAGACACGGACGGACGGACGGACCTAGAAAACACACATTATGATTTTTCTCATAGACAGATGGACAGACGGACAGACAGACAGACACAGACAAAGACATGCAGTCAGACGGACGGACGGAAACATACACACTCGCACACACGCACGCACGCACGGTCATACGGAGAGAGAGAGAAAGGAAAGCCAATGCGGATGTTGGAACAAGAGGAAAACACGGTAATAGAATTCGTATATTATTCCGCATTTAGATTCTTGCCCGAAAACGGTGATGTTGGGTTTGTGTTTCTGAAGTTTATGTTAATGTTTATGGGGTTTATGTTTATGTCTATGGGGTTTATGTTTATGTTTTGTGTTTGTCAATGGGGTTTATGTTTATGTTTATGTAAGAATTCATGAGCCGAGACAGAGCAGAGAGTACAGAGCTGTCATCTTCACTCGAACCGCATGTGTACCTAGTTACGACATGGGAGTTATGTAGTTCGTTATCTTAGAATACGCTCAGATATGTTACGTCATTTAATAGTACTTTAAAGCGGAACAACGGAAAACGGGAGGATAACGGAAAACCTTTCAGCCAGAAATTTTCGGGAATTTAGGTAAGTCGGAGGTAGCCACTGTATAATCTTTAAAGCCAATGAGAGAGAGAGAGAGAGAGAGAGAGAGAGAAAGAAAGTAGGTAAGATAGAGTGAGTGAATGAGTAAGGGGTAGAGAGAGAAGAGAGTGAAGAGAGAAAAGAGAAAAAGAGAGAGGAGGGGAGAGAGAAAAAAAAGGAAAAGTAATACATTGCCAGCTAGACAGCCAGAAAGAGTACAAGAATTTTTTTTTTTTTTTTTTTTTAAGAGAGAAAGTGAGAGAACAAAAAAAAAATTGGCGAAAAATAGAGAAACACACAACGAAACAGAAAGAAAGAGCCTGAGTGACTGCCCATAAATTCAAAAAAAAAGAAGTTAAGATGAATGGAAAGTCTAGGGGCGTGTAGTTACCATGGCAACAAGGTATTTACGCGGCGCCGGACCAGAATGGACGGCCGATTTAGGCAAAGTATATCAGATGGAAGATATACCCATACAGCGGGATTATTGTTGGAAAGAGAGAACCAGGATTTTCGGTTTAAGAAGAGAACAGTTATACGGCCAAGGTCAGTGGGGGAGGCTAAAGGGAACCCAGAATACATTAGGTGGTTAAGAAGGACCAGGGGTTTCCATGGGGGGGGTTCTCCAAAAACCTGGAAAAGATTACGTTGTGTGTTGGACGCGGAGTCTTAAAGCGCTTTCTTTTTCTTCTTTTTCTTTTTATTTCTTTTTTGATGTTTTTTTTCGCTCTTTGACACTACTTCCTCTCTTTATTTTTCTTTTTTTCTCTCCTTGTATTTCTCTCTCTCTCTCTCTCTTTCTCTCTCTCTCTCTCTCTCTCTCTCTCTCTCTCTCTCTCTCTCTCTCTCTCTCTCTCTCTCTCTCTCTCTCTTTCTCTCTCTCTCTCTCTCTCTCTCTCTCTCTCTCTCTCTCTCTCTCTCTCTCTCTCTCTCTCTCTCTCTCCCTCCCTCTCCCTCCCTCTCCCTCCCTCTCTCTCCCTCTCTCTCTCTCCTTCTCTCTCTCTCCTTCTCTCTCCCTCCCTCCCTCCCTCCCTCCCTCCCTCCCTCTCTCTCCCTCTCTCTCCCTCTCTCCCCCCCCTCCCCCCCCCCTCTCTCTCTCTCTCTCTCTCTCTCTCTCTCTCTCTCTCTCTCTCTCTCTCTCTCTCTCTCTCTCTCTCTCTCTCTCTCTCCCTCTCTCCCCCTCTCCCCCTCTCCCCCTCTCCCCCTCTCCCTTTCTCTCCCCCTCTCTCCCCCCTCTCTCCCTCCCTCCTCATCCCTTGCCCAGGTCTATAAGCAGGAATTATGAATGAGAAGTTACATGAATCAGAGATATATGTGAAACTGAAAAAGTAAAAGAAGAATTGCACGAACAAAATTGAGAAGAACAAGAAAACGGTGACGAAAGAGTAGGAAAGAAGAAAACGGGATAATCGACGAAATGCGTTTTCTGTTGATCCTTCGCGTTTCGTCATCCGCTGATTACGTCGATGCTTACGTAATAGCTGGGGGCTTCATAACCAAGCAGTTATTATTGTCATGGTACTCCTAGAGGCCGGAGTGAAAGCTTTGGATGGGAGAAGGGTAGATGCCAGAAATACGGTAGATTTATCTTAACTTTTTTTAAATCTTATTATCTCTAAAAGGGGCGAGAACCATCAGAGGCAGGTTCTACACAAGGGAGCATTCGCGAATGTAAGAGCGAACAGTTAACGAGACAAGTAGGTAGACCGCAGGTAGAATGGAGAGGGCCCCCGGTAGAAGGCTCACAGCGTGGTAGACAAGTGTAGATGCGTCCGCGGTACAGGTCGAGCAGGGCGAAGGAGCAAAGAAACCAGTCACTGTAGCCCACGGTGTCCGAGGGGGAACCCCCGGACCCGAGAAAGGGGTTGATCCTACTATAATTAGAACGTGGCTCAGGGGGATACCTTCAGGGG